CTCGCCTCGAGTGAGGGGAGCCCCTCCGCCGCCCGTGGGTGGGATTGGGGGGAGGCTGGAAAGGGGGCCCTTGTTCCGGACGGGTGTGGGCTGCTGCGGGACCACAGGTCGTCGTGGCAGCCGTCTTTTAAAGTCACTGGAAATGCCGCTGGTGAAGGTGGGGCGGCAGCCAGCCGGTTCCCGGGGCCAGACCTCTCTCAGGAGCTTGGAGGGGTACTCGCAAGGTCACCCGCCGTGTTTGCGTAGCGAGGAGGAGAGGGCATCGTTCCCGTGTTTGCTCTCCTCTGATGCAAATGATTATTTGGCCTCTCTCCTTCAGCACGTCGGTGTGCTGACAAACGGGGGGCCCGAGGGGGCTCCTACATTCCCTCCGCAGAGCAGAGGAACAGCCCTTTGTTCCCTGCCGGCACCTCGATGTTCTGCCCGTGGTACAGTAAGCCTTTACTTTGGAAATGCCGGCAATGTGGGCAAGCCTCTCTTTATGGAAGACCTGTCAGAATACCTTTTACAATTGATATTTAGTTGTCTCCTGTCTTGGAGCCATGCTGCTTCAGCTGGGTTTTTTTCTTTTATTTATTTTATTACTATGTTACCACATTTTGGTGCAGTAAGAAAGAGATTGAGGGTTTCCTACTGGAGCACATCTTACCATGTCAACAACCTGAGGAGTCAGTGGCATCTCTGACTTCTTGTGCCTTCTGCAAGTATCAGCAATAGGCAGCTACCTTGGCAGCTGTTGGTATTATTAGGCTAATTAACTCAATCTTTTTCATAGTCAAGGTACAGAATGTTCCTCTTTTAGGAAGGGGGAGTACTTCTTAAAAGAAAAAAAGTGGCAGTGATTTATAATTGTATCTCCTCGCTGTCTTCTGCAGAAGGTTGATGAGGATGTGGGCTCCTCAAAGTATATTGAGGCATTTGTGTTGCAAGTAGGGTGGTAACAAATTTCGGCCTTTGCTCCTTTCCCAATCTGTAATTTCTGATTTCTTAATAGATTTTGGATCTGGATTAGAATTTATCACACAAGATTAAAAGATTTACAAACTGGCTGTTCTCATCCTGCTTAATGCTGGGATCTTTCGGCCTTTGCTCCTTTCCCAATCTGTAATTTCTGATTTCTTAATAGATTTTGGATCTGGATTAGAATTTATCACACAAGATTAAAAGATTTACAAACTGGCTGTTCTCATCCTGCTTAATTTGCTGGGATCCCAAGCTCTCCTCTCCCTTGGATGCCTCAAAGCCAAAGGAGTGAGGGGGCTCCGTGTAATCCCCCCTTGAGGTAGTATGGGCTGTATAAGCTCTTGTTAACACTTAGGTGTACTCTTTCAGGGGTTTTGCTTCGTGCCGTTTTCTCTGGAAAAGGCTCCGTCTCCATGCCGAGACTCTTGCCTTCTGAAAATGGCTTCTCCTCGCTGTTCTCCGAAAAACTGGTTGCTTATTTCTTTGGTGTTCATCTGTTCTTATTTGAACTTGGTCAGGTCTCAGTGACCTACCAAAAGTTGTTACACTACAGTAATTCCATAAAGCAGGTTTTAAAGGCAAGACTTCTTTCCCTCTTTTCCATCCCCTCATTCCTGTGTTTTCTCTTGTTGCTGAGTCAAACCCAAAGGGGATTCCTTCCAGAACTGACCACCTTGTTGGCGGACTTGAGGTGTGGGACCTGCTTCTGGTTACCATCATCCTGAAGCCAAGCCTCTCTGAACTCAAGACTGGTACAGAAAAAGCATAGAATCTGTACTCCCTTTTCTTTGTAATAAAGCCTCAAAATACTTGAGGGTTTCTTTAAAATTTATTTAATCTTTCTTGTCCGCTAAACTAGACCAAGCAAACAAGTCTGGTCAGTTTTTTCTTCCTCCTGACCTAGGCCAGCATGGATACCTGGCTGTGCTGCTGGGACTCCCGGTTTTTCAGGGGAGTGCTGACACCGTATGTTTGTACTCCATCCCCACCCCCAAATAATTGGCACGCGTCGTAAACATTGGCTTGAGTGCTGCGTGAGAGCATCCCCAAAGCCCATTTTAGGAAGGTGGTTGAACACGGTATGTCTGTTTGAGCAAGGTGAGGGCAGCTGAAGACAGAGCAGCCTCTGACTAAGCTGCCAATTAAAAACTGGATATTCTGCTTCCCCCTGGAGAGGCGTGGAGGCTACTGGAAGTGTGCTTCCTCTTAAAATATCTGTGGGATTCATTTTCTTTGGATGGGTGACAGAGTGCAGTGCTGACCTACCTGTTTTGGGTTTTTTTTTGTATCCAGATGAACATTGTTTGCAAATCTGTGAATAATGGGAGAGTTGAGTGTTGTGGTTTTGCATTGTGCTTTTGTGGGTTCTCTCCATTTCAGAGACTTCCTCATGAGGGAGGGAGGGAGGAAGGATTACTTCAGTCTTTGGCGAGCAATTTCAGTTTTTATTAAGTAGGTACCTGGTCCTGGCAGAGCTCATCTTCCGTCTGCACAGGGATAAGCGATGTGAACTATATTGGACAGGCTGTTGGCACGTGTGTGTTTTGTGACCCCGTGCACGTTTTCTATCCCCCTCTTCTCCCCCCAGCTGAATTAAACTGGGATTTTAGGCTTGTAGCTAGGCAGAGCCTCAACTGGGTGCACTTAATAAGGTATGCGCCTGCCAGTCAAAGGGGATAGTAAACACGGGCTGGCAGCTGGTGCCTCAGCACCCTCCCTTGCTTCTTCTCGTCCCTTCTGCGCTTGTGCCAGCAGGACGTGGCACCCGGCACGACCACCCAGCCTCCCAGAGGAGAGGCTGGCTCTGCCGTCCTGAGTGCGAGCAGGTCTCTGCACAAGCTGCTGAGCGAGTCACGAGGTAGTGTGCTTATGTTCTGGAGAGGCTGGTGCAGGTGAGCCGTGTTGGAAGCAGCTGAGTTGCCAGGGTATAGAGAGGCATGTTAGATGTGCTGAAATAGCTCTGCCAGAGCAGACAGTTGGCCTGCCGGGTTTCAGCAGCGGTACTTGGCAGCAAGGTGAGTATAATGTACGTGCCTGTGTGCGGGTAGTAGCTACACCCTTACTTCTGTAGAGGAGCAGGGAGAATCCTCCCTACCAGCATTTCTCTGTTTTGAGGGCCAGTAGATTGGGGTGACTCTCCTAGAGAGCATCATTGCTTTGTTAGCATTTGTGCAAACTGCTCATTCTGCTTTTGTTAATGAAAAAGCATGGCTGTTCATCTCAACAGGTGGAGGGTTGTTGTGTTCTCTCATCTTCATCCATTCTTTTCTCTCTTTCCCTAGGTCTGTTTGGAGCCAAATCTTGTCTATGCGTGTGTCATTTTGTCTCTTTTAATACACTGCCCTGACTTGCTTGCTGCGAAGGGAGTATGCATCTGGAGATCAAAGTTGCTCTTAACTTCATTATCTCATACCTGTACAACAAGCTTCCTCGGAGGCGGGCAGACCTGTTCGGTGAGGAGCTAGAGCGCCTGCTGAAGAAGAAATATGAGGGTCACTGGTACCCGGAGAAGCCTCTGAAGGGATCTGGCTATCGCTGTGTTCATATAGGGGAGACGGTGGATCCGGTGGTGGAGCTGGCAGCCAAGCGGAGCGGGCTGGCCGTGGAGGATGTGCGTGCCAATGTGCCAGAAGAGCTGAGTGTCTGGATTGATCCTTTTGAGGTTTCCTACCAGATCGGCGAGAAGGGCTCTGTTAAGGTCCTCTACCTGGATGACAGCGAGGGCTGCAGTGCCGCGGAGCTGGACAAAGAAATCAAGAGCAGCTTCAACCCCGACGCCCAGGTATTTGTCCCCATCGGCAGCCAGGACAACTCGCTGTCCAACTCTCCGTCCCCCTCCTTCGGCCAGTCGCCTAGCCCCACCTTCATCCCTCGCTCTGCCCAGCCCATCACTTTCACCACTGCCACTTTTGCTGCCACAAAGTTTGGCTCTACCAAGATGAAGAAGGGCGGAGGAGCCGGAGGAGGGGGCGGTGGAGCAGGGGCTGGGCAGCAGCCGAGGATGGTCAGGTCTCCCACCACCAACCTGCTGAAGCACAAGGGCCTCTCCCTGTCTATGCACTCTCTGAACTTCGTCGGGAGCGCTGGGAGCCAAGCCCCGCAGTCACAGCTCTCCCCCAACGCCAAGGAGTTCGTTTACAGCGGCGGGTCGCCGGGAGCCAGCAGTCTCTTCTTCGATGGCGTTGCCAGTGAGAACCAGGCCAGCAGCATCCCACCGACATCGCAGTTCAACACCGGCACGGGTGGTACCTTTGATATGGCTCAGGTCTTCGGTGGCAGCACCAACAGCCTCTTTTTGGAGAAGTCTCCCTTCGTGGAAGGACTCAGCTACAACCTGAATGCCATGCAGTATCCCAGCCAGTCGTTCCAGCCTGTCGTCCTGGCCAACTGAACACAAGGGAGGAGAGTATTTTGGGGCGGGGAGGGAGGGGGGGGAAACAAGAACAAAACAAACAACAAAGAGGGAGAGAAAAGAAAAATAGAAATATACAGAAAATACTCAAATCTTATAAATATAGCTTCTTGGGAAAAGAGAGAGCCCAGTGTTGTTGCGCTGTGCTGGCAACGCTCCTGAAGCACTGACTTGTTTTTTAACTCAGTCCCTGTGCTTTTTTCCTACTCACTTTTTTACTCCTTAAATGAGTCTTGGGATTTTTTCGGTTTGTGTTTCCCCTTCCCCCACCCCAGCCCAGGACTGGTGCAAACATAGGTCACGATGCTCCTGATTCCCTGCACACACCCCCCCAGCGCTGGACACAGGGTCCTTCCACCTGGGGTGTAGGGACGTTGTCTTTGTACCACCTCGCTGGAGGAGGGACAGGGAGAGGATGAGTCAGTGTCGGTGGAGATACACACACTCTTGTTGCCTGCTAGCCAGAAATGGGTGGATGGGCTTGCTTTTCTGTTACAGCTCTGCGTGTAGACGGAGAGCATCTACTGTGCCCACGGGCGTAGGCCGTTGTGCTGCTGTTGCTCCAGGCTCTCCAGCCCGGGCTGGCGTCAGCTGTTCTGTCTGTGTGCTGAAAAGCACTAACTCTTCTCCTTGACCGCCTCCCAGCACGTAGCAGGGAGGGCAGAGCTTTACTGTGAAATGGCTTCTTCCTGCTCCCTTCCTCATCTGCACTTCCAGCCACGGCTGCAGGAGAACAGCGCTGTGAACTGAGTGACTCTGGTTATCGTCCCCCTCTGCACGTGAGCGAGGGGGCCTTTCCATGCCCTCCCCAGGGCCGGCCGGTCGGTCCGGGTGACAGCCCCATGGTGTAGAAACACCACCCGCCTGTCCCTGAGGCTGGGGGAGGTGGTGCTGAGCCAGGCGGCCCCACTTGGATCCTGCCCCCTCTTCCCGGATGTTCTCCTTGGCGACAGGGGCCAGCATCCACCTGCGGTCATCTGGGGCGGCTTCCTGGGTCTGAGTTCTCATTCCCTGCTGTGAATTCATCTTCTTGTCTCTGAGAGAGAATTCCTTCTTTTTTAGTTAGAGAGGCAGCACTACTTCTGAGGAAGAGAAAGGGCTATGTTGTTGAAGCTGCTCTCTTGAGTGGTAGTGTAAGGGTTTGCGCTTTCAGCCAGGTATACACCTGACTAAATCCCCTCCCCTGCCCTTCTGGAGGAGCGGGACGAGGTGGCTGATCTGGTGTAGAAGGGAAGCACCTAGTGTAAACTGATTGTTCCAGCCAGATCACGTCAGCGCGGATGGTGGCAGGCTTAGAGCAGAGCGTGGATGGGCGCTCTGAAGGCAAGTGGCTGTCCCAGCATGTGAATGTACGGTGCCTCCCTGCCGCCGGACGGCATCTGGGAACGCCCCTGCGGCTTTCCCTGGGACGATGTGCTGCAGTCGGGCTGTAGTGGCTTTTCAGCTAGGTCGCTTCTGTCAGGGACTCCAAAACCCACCTTGACAGGAAGCCGAAGGAGGGCTGCTTCTTGCCCAGGCAGGGCGGAGGCTCTCTAGGTGGGAAGAAGATCTCCTTGGAGGCTGTTGTGGGAGTATGGAAGCGTGCAAAGAGGAGAGAGATGGAGATGATGAGACTCCAGTCTTTGAAGTTCTCAGTTTAAAAGAAAAATAAGCTTTTTGCTGCCTCCCAAACTTGAGGTTTGGTTTTCTTTTTAATGATGTCTCTGGAGCACCCTCTGAAACCCACTTCTGTATCTGTTGAACCAAGGTGCTCTTTCAAGACATCCCTGTTTCGGGGGAGATGGGCTTGAACTCATGCTTTTCCCGCTCCCTTCCCTCAAGCTGAGATGAAGGCACTCCAGCCCTCTTGTAGTTGTGTTGCCAATGAGCCTTTGGAGAGGTCACGGGCTGTCCCAGGGAGACTGCCACTGCCCGGAGCTCTTTAAGGAGAGTTTCCAGCGCACCCTTCCCCTCGCTGGGTGACTGGGGGAGGCACGGTCCCGACCTCATGCCCAGCATGGGTTCCCAAGCAGGCTGCTTGCCATCGAGCGATGACCAACACGGCGGGTGGGCGAGGAGAGTGGAGCCCAGCTAGCCTTCCCCCAAACGGGCACCCGCAGCCTCAACCCTGCAGGTTTCCAGACTGGGACAAGTCGCTGAGGAACGGCCAAGCTGTTGGGTTTCCCTTTTTTCTTCTTTTTGAACCCCCCACTTACGGACATTACACTGCCATCCCGTCCTTCTCCCCGGGAGTGTGCTGCTGAGTGCCAGCCCACTTGCCGCACTGGACTGAGGGGTGCTCAGCCCGCGATCGCGGGACCCGATCCAGTTGCCCCTCACTGTCCCCCGCATCTGGCAAAGCCACCTGTGAGCTGCTGCTGCGGGACGGCGTGCTCTCCTCCGGCACGGGGAGGGAGGGAGGGGAGAGGTGGGGATGCCCCCCGGCCACCTGCTAATGTGTGTGAAGCTTTGATGCCGCTTTGCCCTGCCACACGTATTATACCTGCTTTAAAAATAGTGGTGTGAGTGGAAGGAGGAAAAGAGGAGGGACCAACCTCTTTGTATCTTAAAAGGAAAAAAGCGTGCTTCAGAAACGTTCCTCCAAGGTCAGGCAGCAATGGAAACTAACGGCCTTTTCGGGTCTTTTCTAGTCTTGGATGTAGGCGTTCAGCTTCAATTTTATTTTTTAAAAACCTGCACTAATTTACCTGGTTTCTTAGGAAGAGAAGAGAGAAATTTTTTTTTAACTTTTATTTTTTATGGGTTTGTGTTCTTTTTGTTGATGTCCGTTTGTATTGAATAATTTGCTACATTTGTAAAATGTAAGAGGTATATATAATATATGTATATTTCTAACGTAAAAAAAACTGTAATTTTTTTCTTTTCAAGATTTTTTCTTAAAAAGAGGAGAGAAAAAAATATTTTTTCAGGAAAAAAACTTTAAAAAAAAAAGAAGTGGTGAAGATTCCTTTCTCCCCACTCAGCCTCCCTCCTTTCCCTCCCGCCCCTCTCCGAGGAGTGAATCGACAGTTGCCTTGTGGGAGAGAATGTGTGGAAGAGGACAGAAGTCTGTATGTCTCCGAGCGGAGGGTTTCCGTGTGTGCTCTGCTTGGGTTTCTTTCTGAGAAGGGGGCTACTGAGAGGGGGAACCAGGGGGTTGCTGTCTTTTTTTTTCTTTTTTTTTTTTTCTTTAGCGAAGGAGGAATACAATCAAGAGTTTTGTATTCAGAATGTTGTGCAATATTTTGGAACAGGACATTGGTGTGTCTAGAGATTTAGTTAAAAACAAAAAAAACAAAAAGGTTGATCAAATCTGTACAGTTTCTATTGTTCCAGATTTTTTAAGTTTGTATTAAAAGCATGATATAATAACCGGTTGTCGTGTGGTGTGTGCTCAGTGGGGAGAGAACACGCCTGTTCCCGGGCAAGGAGGGACATGGCCGCCTTCCCTGCTGGCCTTCGGATGAAGTGGTGCTTGGCGTCTTCCTCTCGCAGGCAAGGTTGCTGGTTTGTGGTGCGCTCGGCGGAGGTTTTGTTGCGTTAGGAATAGCCCGGTGATGCCCAGGCTTGTGCAACACGGCGAGGGCTGCTGTCTCCCCGACCTCTCGCGCTGCCACGAATAGCAGCGGCATAGGAAAAAGTGGCAGTGTGCCTTCCCAGGTCCTGCTGTGATTCGGCTCCCTGGGGTGGGGGGGGAGAGCTGGCTCTCCTCCCCAGGGGAGAGGAGGGAGCGGGGCGCTTTGCCTTTGGCGCGTGGTGCCTCGGGGGCCTTCAGTCAATCTGCGGCAGCTCGCCAGGGCTCTCGCCCGCAGCCATCACCTGCGGGACCGGGCTGGGATCTGTCTGGTGTCATTGCACGGGGTAGATGAAGCCTTCCCGGGCAGTGCTTTCTGCAGATGGGGTGCTGTTGGTGGGTTGATTTTCCCTCCCCTCTGCGCAAACCAGTTTGGGTTTATCCTGGGGCATCTGGGGTACTTGCTAAAGCAAAGGAAGCCTCAAGGTGTGCGGGCATGCCATGCCCTCCCTACTGTGAATGCTCATCCAAGGTGACTTCTCATAGCAGGGTGGGCTTGAGGCTGGATGTGAGAACAAGCAGTGATGATGAAGGTCTGATTTTGTTCCTCTTTCCTTTCTAACCTCTCATTGCTCAGCTTTAATCAGAATTTCTGTCGGAGGGAGCTGCTCCTTTTTAGCAAAACGAGATGAGATGGCCCCTCTATGCTGAGGAAGATGCTGAAATGCCTGTCCCACCCCAGGTGTGCCGCATGGCTGTGTGACCCAGCTTCCCCAGTCCCACTGTGCTCCTGCTGCCTCCTGCTCGAGAGGTGGCTCGCAGCTCCCCCCACCGCCTCCTTAAAAAGCTGTTGAAGGGAGTTGCTCTGAATGTACTTGAGGAAACGGAACGTGGAGCTGGTACTGGCTGCTGGCTCCCACTAGCATCCTTACCTGTGGCACCTCAGCCCCTCTAGCCTTTCTTCCTGGAAGAGCTCGCGCTGCTTTGCCCTTGGCTTTGCAAGCCCCGGGAACTGGGCTGCTGCTCGTGCCTGCTGCGTGCCATGTGACTGTCACACTCTGCTAAGCAACTAAACTATTTTTTCCCCTTTGTGTCTCAAACCCCTTGTAATCATTTATCTAAAAGCATGCACAAATGCTTGCCCTTAGACATGTTTCTGGAAATGGAAAATCGAGGGCAAGTATGTGCCTTCCTGATCCTTGCCCTGCATTTGCTCGGCCGTGACGCAGGGAGGCACGGAGCCTTTCCCTTTTTGGGCACAGGTACGCCGAGCAGTAGGGCCTGGAGTTAGTTTACAGCTGATAGCTGCGCAGCCTGGGCAGGGATTAGAGAAAAGGCTTAGCAGAGCCTCGTTCCTCGTGAGGTATTTGCCCCTGTGCTGCCCCAGGGAGCCTGAAGGGTGTGGGGAGGTGAAACGCCCACCTGGAAGCAGTGTGCAGGGATGGGGATCTGCCCTCTGTCAGCTTTCAGAGAGGAAAGGAGGTGCCGGAGCCCGGTGCTCGGCCGGTGCAGGGTGGTGCCTGGGTGTGAGAATATTTGCTGGGTGTTTGGGCAGTGACTGGAGTTGGTCCCCAAATAAGGTGCTCCAGCAAGGCACAGCAACAAGATGGGACTTGTCTCCTGAAACCTCCAAAGCGAGGGGTGTGGGGGTGTTGTTTAGACACTCGTCACAGGGGACTCCCGTTATTAAGAAGGAAACTTGCAACTTGAGTCACTGAGCGGGCGGGCTCCCACCTGAAAGGAGGAGACAGCTTGGGTAGAAAATGCCACGCTTCAGCCTTGGGCTTGCAGCAGTTTCTGACACGAATCGGGCTGTTCTGGGAGAGGGAGGGGGCTGGCGCCCGGAGGAAAGCCTTATGCAAGCGTGAAAAGCCATCTGTAAGGCAGCTGTGCCCTGGTCTGCGTTTTAAATACAGGACCAGCAAAACAGCCCAAGTTTGCTCCTGCAGGAAAGTGTCTCCCGCTGCCCCGGAGCCTCCCGGAGACTTGGGGTTATTGGGGTTGAATAACACATGGCGCAGGCACTGCCGACAGCGGGTGCCTCCCCATGCCCCGGTACTTGCCGACATGCCAGGACCGAGAGGTGGAAAAACACCGCTGGGGGGGGGCCAGGACCCGCCGAGTCCTTGGCGTCCCCGAGGAGCGCTCCTGCCAACACCACCTGCTCCCTGCTCACGTGGCTGCAGCCCCAGGCGCTGCCCACGGCCCCGGCGGGTACAAGGGGCGAGGCTGACGCCACGGTTGCAGAGGGACAGCCAGGTCTTCCCACCCCTCGTGCATCCTCTGCCAGAACGCAGGCACCAGCCCAGAGGCAGGCTGTGGCCAAGGTTAGCCGCCTCCCAAACCTTCTGCTTTTTCCTTCGGTTTCTATGGCCGGGCTCCAATTCAAACACGGCCGGGAACACGCTCATCCCAGCCCTTGCAGAGCTGTTCTTCCACTGTCCCCCCTGCCGCCGCCGCCTGTGTCGTCACCTCCAGAAACCTGGTCTGCTTTTTATAAAGCTGCTAAAGAGCGAAGCTTTCACCCCCCGGCCTCGGTGAAGGCTAAGCCCCGGCCAGCACACATGGAGCTTTTGAGTCGTACCGGTGAAGGGCCAATTTGCGTGACGGCAAATTTGTGTGTGGCCATTGCCAGTGGCAAAAGTGACTCCGGCATGGTAAGTTCGAGTGCCACATGATTTTTTTTTTTTCCCCAAGAAGCCCTCAAAGGCACGGCAGCAGATTAGGAAAAGGAGATCTCTGCGAAGGAGGTTCAGGGTCAAATTTTGCTGCTTTGCCTTGAGGAGGGGCAGGGAATGGTGCAGGTGGAGGCGTGGGGGAACTCGCTCCCTCTTCACCGAACGCCGAGGAGGCAAGTGTGGTTCCCGTATTATTCTGCAGTTGTTGAGACCTAGTTGAGGGGTTTTTTTGCTTATTTTTGTTGGCCTCGCACAGCCTGCCGCACTGCCGGCGCAGCCTGACTGCTGAAGGAAGCAGATCCCTGGGAGGGAGCGTGTTCCTCCCACTTGGCAGGGTGTTTCCACCAAGGACAAAGTTTTCCTTTGAGTGAATCAGCCAGAAATTGCTTGCAGAAGGTGCAGCTGGGGCCTTCATCAGAAAAAAAAAACAAACCCAAAATAATCCACACAAGGTGATGTGTAG